TATATGGGTAGAGAAAAACCTGCAGATACCAGTATCTCAGCAAACCCAAATACCAGATCTTTGTATTTGTGATTTTGCTTTGCTTTTTGTATTTTTCATGGGACAACAAAGAGGCATAGGATCTGATATTTCAGCACTAGGCTCACAGGATACGCAACGGAAAAACCAGATGGTTTACATTGTGTTGGCCTTATATGTTAGAGCTTTCTTAGGGCCTACTACTGCCAGAAACCAAGTATCTCCTGAAATATGAGTGACGTGAATGGAAGTACTAAACATAAATGCATAAATTACTGGCCTCTGCCCCCACCCAACATATCCACACCCACTTAATTAACTTTTAAATCAAACTTGGGTAATTATTTCATCAGCCTGAAAGCAGTCAGTTTAAAAGCATTCATCTGAGTCTATAGTTAGCAGGTAGTTATGTGCTATTAATTAATCATATACTTTTGGAGAGTTATTTTTTTTCTTGTACCCATTTTACAGAGAAACTCACTTAACAAAAGATGGTATTTTTTTTCTCTTCAGCTGCTGAAAGATGCAGAGTACATATCAGCAAAGGGGGAATACCATGCACTCCATGACAAAGTACTATGCTTGCATCCTCCAAAATGTCAATACTTTAATTAGATACTAAAAGGCTAATTTTCAAACAAACACATGGAAGAAAATTAAGTAAAAAGGTATTAGATCATGTACCTCAAACTTGAAGCCTAATTGACAGTGACACTAAAATAGGACACAGAACAAGTTACTCAAATGTATTTTATAAATTGTTTTAAGACTGCATGTATTTCACAACCTACAAAATTCTAAGTTACCCAAGAAATATGCCAGGTTTATTTCATGATCTACTTAGTTCAAACATGAATGCTACATAAAGATCTTTGGTTTACAAAACTTATGTCTTAGCGGTTGGTTACCAAATCATTGGAAAAAATAACTTGGCTAACAGTGAAAAGTATCAGCGAGCCGATTGTTTAATGAACTGTACTTACTGACAGACACTGCATACTATAAAAGCTATTGCGTGCTAGTGTGTTCCCAAAGTATGACAATGTGTTTTTCAATTTGTTTTCTTGCTGTCGTTTGTTTCATTTAACTTTCCTCCTAATGACAAGATCACTGTACTTTGTTCAAGAGAAGATAATTCCTTTTTTTAAAGCTCTTGCCAACAAAAGAACTCCAAACACATATGGCACAAAAGGATTATGTTCAGAACAGTTTTAGAGGAAAAAGAAACACCCCAAACTAAAAGCACAAATTTATTTGGTGCATTTCCACATTTTTTTTACATGAAATGAAAAATTAAAATGAAAAATACACACAGTTCATCAGAACACTGGTCTGACCAAATTCATAATTAGCATATGGAATAAGCAACAGCTTTATCAATATTTTAATGGGGATACTTTAAAAAATAAAGTATCCTTTCATTCAGCAGTAGAAAAATAGAATAAAATCTAACTTAAAATTATGCATTAGAGATGCAAAAAGTTTGAATGACTAGTCTTTTAAAATGCAAACAGGACCCCTTATTCATACCTAGAAAATTCAGACATGTTCTGACAAGCCCAGCAGATATGTACCTGATCCTCTCCAGCATCTGAGAAAAATATTTGGCACAAGGGAAATTCGGTGTGTCCATTCTGTAAATGTGGGGAGCAAGTGGGACAAACAGAATAGAGCTTCCTTCCCAAAAGCCTTTCCCAAAGCAGGTACAGCCATATACCCAATATGTATGGACCTTGCGGAGGGAAGTGAATAGGGCACCAGGATCCCCAGGAAGCCTGGCTATGGTGCTGCTGCCATTGGAGCTGATGCTGCTACAACAGCAGCAGCAGCCCAGGGTACACAAGCCTTCCTTTCCCTTTACACACTGCCTCCCTGGCCCCTCACCCAGTTAACAGTGGTTGACATACTCTTGTCCCCAACCCCACCCTGCTCTGGGTGCTCCATGAGCTTACTACACCTCTGACCTTGTGGAACTCATTGCCAAAAGATGTTGTAGAGGTTAATAATTTAACCAGGTTCAAAAGAGGATTGGATGAAGACAGTGTTATTACAATCAGTGGCAGGTCTGCCATGGGGTACTGATCTAGATGGATGGATGTGGTCTGTATATCAATATTTATGTTCTTCATGTGATCTATGTTCTCAGTGCTCCATTAGGGTTCATACCCTAATTTGAAAATTTGATTATAAAATACAAGCTCTCTACAGCTAAACCACCCAACCCACAGCACAGGGACTATAATACTGCTCCTACCTAGTAGCTTCTCAAAGACTAGCAACCCTAAAGAAATTAGGATGAAGGCAGGGTGATGGTCACTGCTGCCTACATGGGGCAAAGCATTTCCCTGCCTTTTAAGGGTATAATGGTCTACTCCACTTGCATGCCATGGAGCTAGTATGGGTCTGTGCCTTAATTCATCATTCAAACCTAAGAATTTCAGCTCTTCATCACAGGCATATTTGAATTATCGTAAGTATGTGCAGGACACACTTCTGAAATCCTTAGTGAAAAATCCTGTTGAAGGCAAGGAGAAACTTGCAAGACTGGCCCTTAACCACAAACCATCTATGTTAAGCAAAGGACACAAAAGATTTTAATTAAAAATGCCAAGTATGATGTGAGAAACGTGCAGTATATAGAAAAGGTACCTAGGATAAATACTTACAGATTGAAACAAATCAACTAAGAAAATTTCAAAATAGTTCCAATACATTGTATCCCATGAGGCTAAACAAGAAAAGTAGATGTTCCATGTAGCGTAACTGGACTCCATGTTTTGACCACCAGTAAAAAAGATGAATTGGGAATCAGGCCAGAATAGTTTCTAATGCTGCAGCTCTTTAACAGGACTTTTTTTCCCTAAGCTGTTCCAATAAACTCTGCACAAACTGCACAGAACCCTAAATTCTTCTACAGGATCACATAAGAGGGCCACAGTTGAAGATAATGGAACAGAAGTGTGGTTTGGCAAAAGGGTGAGGTCTTGGACCTACCCTGTGTAACATTTTATTCCTGTAACAATTATCAGGCACCTTTGGTGCCGAGATGTGGTAAAAGAGCAGCCCTGCAGATGACTTGGCTAAAGAACAGGTATTGGTAATGGCAGGACAACTTTCTTAACAATTGCTAGAGTGATCTAGAGCAGGGGGTGGTAACCTATGGCCTACGGGCCAGATCCAGCCCAAGGAGCCTTTGGATCTGTCCTGCGAAG